TGACACTCTAATGTTCCACCAGTGGGATGTACATCATACGTCAGATTTGGATATTTCGGAGGATCTCTGGCACAATTTTTGGGCTGGTTTATCCTTTTCCTGTGTAAATTCTCTGCGCTGAGTTATATATACAGGAGCCATGAATAGGGTCAGTTAATAAATAAACCTTCCCTGCTGCGGAGTCATGTGACCGGACTTTCCTTCATCTTCTAATCCACCGGGCAGTGTGACTTGGACGGCTGCCATGCTGCATAAATCATTGTGCAGTGCAGGCAGATCATGGCTGGTTGGAGGGGCCAGCAGGGTGCTGTGCATAGCTTCCTGAAAACATCGCAGCACCCTGCCTCAGTGCTCCTCTAAAGAGCCCTCAGCCCTGGTGCAAGTAGTGGGCTGGCACATGGGAGGAGTCATGCAAATAACACAATGCCTTGATGGGTGGATGTCTGTCTGGAGGAGTGGGTCTTCCTAGGCAGAATGTGTTTGCATGCAGATTACCCACATGTGATGCTGAGTCTCAATGATTGGTAGAACTGAAATCCAATGAATGAACGGGGAGGGCCAGGGACAGTCAGGCTGCGGAGGAAAGTACTAGATGATGCTGGACGTCCTCCAGCCAGGAAATGAGGCGGAGCTCTATCTGACTTGCTGCAGCTTCTAATGCAGCAGGGAGCTCCCAGTGTGCAGTGGTATCAGTGGATGGAGGTCAGATATAAGACTGAAGAGAAGGCTGGAGGTCAGATAGAAGACTGAAGGGAAGGCCGGAGGTCAGATAGAAGGCTGAAGGGGAGGACGGAGGTCAGATAGAAGGCTGAAGGGGAGGACGGAGGTCAGATAGAAGGCTGAAGGGAAGGACGGAGGTCAGATAGAAGGCAGAAGGGAAGGACGGAGGTCAGATAGAAGGCTGAAGGGAAGGCTGGAGGTCAGATAGAAGGCTGAAGGGGAGGCCGGAGGTCAGATAGAAGGCTGAAGGGAAGGACGGAGGTTAGATAGAAGGCTGAAGGGGAGGCCGGAGGTCAGATAGAAGACTGAAGGGGAGGCCGGAGGTCAGATAGAAGACTGAAGGGGAGGACGGAGGTCAGATAGAAGACTGAAGGGGAGGCCGGAGGTCAGCTTTGGTTGTACCATCTGATTGGCTGAACAATGGTACAGATTTTAGGCATTACTTAGGCCTCGTTCCCTCCTCCTGCATTGAGCTGCATTGCTCCTCTCAGTCCCAGGTCTGGCCTGCATTGGTTTGAGCTGGAAAATAATGGAAATGCTTCATTCACAGCGCAGAGGAAAATGTAATACATGTGACGCTCGCACATTTGAGTGCACAAATCACAAGTTCTGCGGTGTGAATGGGCCCCTATAGAAGGAGGGGGCGGCGCCCATGGTGGGATTCTTCCTCGTTATCTGTGTTGCTCAATCACCGGCTGTGCTGGTGTCATGATGGTAGCTGCTGGTACGCAGTCACCCTTTTATCTTCCATCTGTCCTTCAGACCGGCTCATAAACGCACTATCACCCGGTATAATCTGACCGTTCAGATAACGGGAGTACTGTCAGGTCATGTGACTTGCTGGTGACACAGGAATTGGTGTTCTATCAGCCCAGAAGATCAATGTGTATCACTGGTGCCACCTGGTGGTCAGGAGCGGTACACAGCACGCCTTGTGTCATTGTAACAAGTAGTTGCATCTGATGTGACAGATACATTGTTACAGGTTTGTTGTTTTATCATTTTGGTTTTCGTCCCTCAGGAGAGACGGAGAGAATTCGAGATTAACTTACAGAAGGCCGGCCTGGAGCTGGAGACCGAGGACAAAAAGGTGAGGTCACCCCAAAGATTGCTCCGATACCAGCAGAGCAAAGATCAGACAAGACTGAGGATGAATAGTGTATTCGTAACTAGTATATGTATGGCACTGACATATTCTGTAATGCTGTACAAAATACATAGGTATATCAGTCTCTGCACAGAGGAGCTTACACTCTAATGCCCCCTCCCCCCACAGTCACATCAGTCTCTGTACAGAGGAGCTTACACTCTAATGTCCCCTCCCCCCACAGTCACATCAGTCTCTGTGCAGAGGAGCTTACACTCTAATGTCCCCTCCCCCCCACAGTCACATCAGTCTCTGTACAGAGGAGCTTACACTCTAATGCCCCCCACCCACAGTCACACGTTATAATTGAGCCTGGCACTTTCTCTCCATTTTTTTCCCGTCAGGAATCTGAAAACGGTAAAATTTATTACCTGAAGATCCACGCCCCCTGGGAGATCCTCACCACCTACGCGGAGGTGCTGAACATCAAAGTGCCCATCAAGGAGAACGACATAGACCCGCCCAGAGATCCCTTCAATTGGATGCTGAAGGTCTTCCGTCTGCCGGAGCACGTCATGCACCCGGAGCCGGATTATTTCACGGCGCCCTTCAGCAAGCAGCGGCAAGAGCTCTTCCTCGTCCACGAATAGAACTATGAGGTGAGTGAAAAGCACCCCCCTCCCCCCTCATAGTTCTCCTTTAAGGATCCCTATATTAATTGTGGGCCCCTAATGAAAAGTATCTTGGACATTAAGGGGTCTATTTATAAACAATTGCAAGAGCCATTCGCCCTGCAAATCTCTGAACGTTATCAGGTCGAATGTAATACTGCGTTATGGCCACTAGATGGAGCTGATGAGCATAGAAAATACACACTTCTTTCTTTTACTCCTCAGCTCTCTCTAGTGGCCACAACACAGTATTGCATTACATTCAACCTGAAAAGAAAATATACTAAAAACTTTAATTTGTGCCTGTATTTGCAACGAACAAACATTCACATAGTTATGTAGGGTAAATGGCTCTGCAAATTGTTTATAAATGGACCCCAAAAAGTCACCTACCAGGCTTTTCCCTGTATTTTCACCTGAGGAACACACTTCCTGTCCTAGGGTGACAACGCACAATCACTGTACTGTATGGAGGAGCAGCGCTGTCACTCTAGGACAGGAAGGACGCTGAGATGTTGCATTCATTCCAAGCATGCTGAGATGATCCTGTTATTCAGATGATTGTTTGTGACTGTGAATATCTTCTGTTTCCAGGTGTATTATATACTCTCTCGCTGCCCCTATGGAATGGCCGAGGAAAAGAGGAAATTCGGGGTTAAGAAACTGTTAAGCAACGGCACTTACAGTTCCGCCTTCCCGCTCCACGATGTATGTATCACTCCATTGATCATATCTGTTGGCAATGTATGTATCACCGCACTGACGGGCAGAGGCGTAACTACCGCGTTTCCCCCGAAAATAAGACACTGTCTTATATTTTTTGGGGCTAAAAAAAACCACACAATGGGTCTTATTTTTTTTTAATGTACAACAATCCGCACTTACTCATGTACAAAAATGTGGTGATCAGGGCAATCAGGGGCGTCGTTCCTTTCCAATGAGCAATCTGGTAACCAATCGCTGGCCAGGATGAGCGAAGCGCGCTTTCACTATGGATTCCTCACTGGCGGAGTTCATTTGGTATGACTCCGCCTGTGACAGGAGCCGGCGCTATAGAGGAAACATCGGCTTATGCGGCTCTGCTCCCTCCGGTGCCGCCTCGCTTCCTCTAGCGCCGGCTTCCTTGGCACCGCTGATTCTCTCCCGCCTCTCCCAGTTCTCTCCTTATGCCACCACCGGCCCTGGGAATGGTCACAACTAGGTCTTATTTTCGGGGGAAACAGGGTAGTGACCTCAGGGCCCCGATGCAAGAATCCATGAAGGCAACCCCCCTCCCCCCAAGAAAAGGATTAGATACTTTAAAAAAAAAAAAAAATTTTAGACCAAAACATTTTTTCAAAACAAACCCCCTCCTCTACCATGTCTCCAGCTTCCCCCCTTCTCGTCCCCAGCCTTCAGCTCCCTGACCCCACCCCCTCCTCTACCATGTCCCCAGCTTCCCCCCTTCTCGTCCCCAGCTCAGCTCCCTATCCCCAGCCTTCAGCTCTCTGACCCCACCCCCTCCTCTACCATGTCCCCAGCTTCCCCCCTTCTCGTCCCCAGCCTTCAGCTCACTGACCCCACCCCCTCCTCTTCCATGCCCCCTTCATAATCTCAGCTCCCTATAACTCCCTCTTCGTGTCAGCAGCACGCCTCTGACACCCAGGGAGTTGGAGCTTTCCATAGAACACAGGCAGTTCTACGGTCGGCAGCAGTACTGTGTGATGAGGGGGCGGGGATAACCCGCTTCCCAATCATTGGCTGCTGCGCCGCCTGGATCATTCTTCACGCTGCGCCCGGAACAAGGTGAGGGGAGCAGCGTGAACCATGCAGGGCCCAGGACAGGAGGAAGAGGTCCCGGTACTGATATTAGCGGTTCCCGGGATATTAAATATCCTGGTAATCAGCTGTTACTATAGGCCCCGTCCTCCTGTCCCTTCTAAGTGGCGGAACTCCAGTGCCCGGTCGCAGCTGCGACCCTGGTAGTTCCGCCAATGCTGATAGGGGTGTATTTATTTTAAAAATTGCAGTGCTGTTCAGCCAGCGAAACGCGTATACATTTGTTCTATTGGAATGATGACAAAAATTAGTATATTTTATTTCTAGGTCAAATGTACTTCATTCATAAAGAATCAAGTGAATTGGGAAAATACCATATTATGGCCACTAGATGGCGCTGAGGATCATAAGAAATAAATACTTCTTTTCTATGCCTCTCCGCTCCCTCTAGTGACCATAATATGGTATTTTCCTGATTATTATATTCAACCTGGAAAATATATATA